AAAGCTAAATTCTTTAATATTGATTTGCTGAACTTGAAATTCACTACGAATGTTCAGAGGAGATAGACAAAGGATACCACAGGATATTAGACCAGCAATTCATTTCATTCAGTTCAAAAAATTTGAAAACAATTGTCTAAAATAGCTATTATTCCCCAATATGAGGTGAAAGATTTTAGAAGCTAAATTCTTTAAGATTGATTTCCTAGACTTGAAATTCAGTAAGAATGTTCAGAAGGGATTGAAAAAGGATACAACAGAATATTAGACCAGCAATTCTTTTCATTCAGCTCAAAAAATTTCAAACCAACTGTCCAAAATAGATATTTTTCCCTTATACGAGATGTCAGATTTTGAAAGCTAGATTCTTTAATATATATTTCCTAGACTTGAAATTCAGTAAGATCGCTTAGAAAGGATTGACAAAGGATACAACCGAATATTAGACCAGTAATTTTTCAAAAAATTTGAAAACCATTGTGCAAAATAGCAATTTTTCTTTTATATGAGGTGTCAGATTTTTAAAGCTAATTTTTTTAATATTGATTTGCTGAACTTTAAATTCAGTAAGCATGTTCAAAAGCGATTGAAAAAGGATACAACAGAATATTAGACCAGCAGTTTATTTCATTCAGTTCAAAAAATTTGAAAACCATTGTCTAAAATAGCCATTTTTGCCCAACATGAGGTGTCAGATTTTAAAAGCTAAATTGTTTAATATTGATTCGCTGAACTTCAAATTCAGTAACAATGTTCAGAAGGGATTGACAAGGGATACAACAGAATATTAGACCAGCAATTCATTTCATTGAGTTAAAAAATTTGAAAACAATTGTCAAAAATAGCAATTTTTCCCTTATATGAGGTGTCAGATTTTGAAAGCTAAATTCTTTAATATTGATTTGCTAGATTTCAAATTGAGCAAGAATGTTCAGAAGGAATTGAAAAAGCATACAACAAAATATTAGACCAGCAGTTCATTTCATTCAGGTCAAAAAATTTGAAACCAACTGTCCAAAATAGATATTTTTTCCTTATATGAGATGTCAGATTTTGAAAGCTAAATTCTTTAATATATATTTCCTAGACTTGAAATTCAGTAAGATCGTTCAGAAGGGATTGACAAAGGATACAACAGAATATTAGACCAGCAATTCATTTCATTCAGTTCAAAAAATTTGAAAACCATTGTGCAAAATAGCAATTTTTCCCTTATATGAGGTGTCAGATTTTTAAAGCTAAATTTTTTAATATTTATTTGCTGATCTTTAAATTCAGAAAGAAATTTCGAAAGGGATTGACAAAGGATACAACAGAATATTAGACCAGCAGTTCATTTCATTCAGTTCAAAAAATTTGAAAACTATTGTCTAAAATAGCCATTTTTGCCCAATATTAGGTGAAAGATTTTAAAAGGTAAATTCTATAATATTGATTTGCTGAACTTGAAATTCAGTAACAATGTCCACAAGAGATTGGCAAAGGATACAACAGAATATTAGACCAGCAGTTAATTTCATTTAGTTCAAAAGATGTGAAAACAATTGTCGAAAATAGCAATTTTTCCTTTATATGAGGTGTTTGGTTTTGAAAGCTAAATTCTTTAATATTATTTGCTGAACTTGAAATTCACTACGAATGTTCAGAGGAGATAGACAAAGGATACCACAGGATATTAGACCAGCAATTCATTTCATTCAGTTCAAAAAATTTGAAACAATTGTCTAAAATAGCTATTATTCCCCAATATGAGGTGAAAGATTTTAGAAGCTAAATTCTTTAAGATTGATTTCCTAGACTTGAAATTCAGTAAGAATGTTCAGAAGGGATTGAAAAAGGATACAACAGAATATTAGACCAGCAATTCTTTTCATTCAGGTCAAAAAATTTCAAACCAACTGTCCAAAATAGATATTTTTCCCTTTACGAGATGTCAGATTTTGAAAGCTAGATTCTTTAATATATTTCCTAGACTTGAAATTCAGTAAGATCGTTCAGAAAGGATTGACAAAGGATACAACCGAATATTAGACCAGTAATTTTTCAAAAAATTTGAAAACCATTGTGCAAAATAGCAATTTTTCTTTTATATGAGGTGTCAGATTTTTAAAGCTAAATTTTTTAATATTGATTTGCTGAACTTTAAATTCAGTGAGCATGTTCAAAAGCGATTGAAAAAGGATACAACAGAATATTAGACCAGCAGTTTATTTCATTCAGTTCAAAAAATTTGAAAACCATTGTCTAAAATAGCCATTTTTGCCCAACATGAGGTGACAGATTTTAAAAGCTAAATTGTTTAATATTGATTTGCTGAACTTCAAATTCAGTAACAATGTTCTGAAGGGATTGACAAAGGATACAACAGAATATTAGACCAGAAATTCATTTCATTGAGTTAAAAAATTTGAAAACAATTGTCAAAAATAGCATTTTTTCCCTTATATGAGGTGTCAGATTTTGAAAGCTAAATTCTTTAATATTGATTTGCTAGATTTCAAATCGAGCAAGAATGTTCAGAAGGGATTGAAAAAGCATACAACAAAATATTAGACCAGCAGTTCATTTCATTCAGGTCAAAAAATTTGAAACCAACTGTCCAAAATAGATATTTTTCCCTTATATGAGATGTCAGATTTTGAAAGCTAAATTCTTTAATATATATTTCCTAGACTTGAAATTCAGTAAGATCGTTCAGAAGGGATTGACAAAGGATACAACAGAATATTAGACCAGCAATTCATTTCATTCAGTTCAAAAAATTTGAAAACCATTGTGCAAAATAGCAATTTTTCCCTTATATGAGGTGTCAGATTTTTAAAGCTAAATTTTTTAATATTTATTTGCTGATCTTTAAATTCAGAAAGAAATTTCGGAAGGGATTGACAAAGGATACAACAGAATATTAGACCAGCAGTTCATTTCATTCGGTTCAAAAAATTTGAAAACTATTGTCTAAAATAGCCATTTTTGCCCAATATTAGGTGAAAGATTTTAAAAGCTAAATTCTATAATATTGATTTGCTGAACTTGAAATTCAGTAACAATGTCCACAAGAGATTGGCAAAGGATACAACAGAATATTAGACCAGCAGTTAATTTCATTTAGTTCAAAAGATGTGAAAACAATTGTCGAAAATAGCAATTTTTCCTTTATATGAGGTGTTGGGTTTTGAAAGCTAAATTCTTTAATATTGATTTGCTGAACTTGAAATTCACTACGAATGTTCAGAAGAGATCGACAAAGGATACCACAGGATATTAGACCAGCAATTCATTTCATTCAGTTCAAAAAATTTGAAAACATTTGTCTAAAATAGCCATTATTCCCCAATATGAGGTGAAAGATTTTAGAAGCTAAATTCTTTAATATTGATTTCCTAGACTTGAAATTCAGTAAGAATGTTCAGAATGGATTCAAAAAGGATACAACAGAATATTAGACCAGCAATTCATCTCATTTAGTTCAAAAAATTTCAAAACAATTGTCCAAAATAGCAATAAATTTTTCCTTTATATGAGATGTCAGACATTGAAAGCTCAATTCTTTAATATTGATTTGCTAATCTAAAATTCCGTATGAATGTTCAAAAGGGATTGACAAAGGATACAACAAAATATTACACCCAGGGGCGGATCTAGGATTTCTTTACGTTAGTCAAAATTCTCGCAGGTCAATACTAGGTTTACGGAATAAGAAGAATTTTCGCTCCCCCCCCCCTAGATTGATGAAATTAGTTATATTTTACAGTTTACTAGCTGATTCGATATAAATCACACCTTTATTGTATTGAGCTTGGTCCAGGCAAAATTGCTTTATAAGTTTATAGCAGAAACACGCAGGCGACATAACAAGCATTAATATATAATACTATTAAAACATGTCTGGATATTATTTCTACGGTGCAGACATATAAACGTACAGACATAACATGATTTTACAAATATTACAAAATTCAAAATCTATCACGCTTTTAAATAATACAGATATAACACAGTAGCCCACGCTCAGCTAATATGAATAAACAATACAACAAATGAGATTATGAACGGCTCTAAGTTCTAAATATTAATATAATTTTATGACATTTTACCGGCAGCGGGCGAATGCAAATAACACAGGACGAACGCCACGGGTTTAATCATTGTTAAATGTTAAGTAAAGATGTGTTTTTGGATGCTTTCATCACATTTAATCTATATGAATAAATTATGTAAAGGTACCTTTCAGCACCTTTACACATACTGATTAAACGGTTTTCTGGAGGCTTTAATTAAACGCCTTAAATTATATTTAAAGATGAGTAAAGGCTGTATATTAAATGTTAGTAAATGTCAATGAAAGGGGAATAAAATTTACCTATGAGCTGTCTTTAATTAAAACGGAAAAAAGTTAAAAATAATCTTTACACTGTCTTTAAAAGCACCTTTTGCTATCTTGCATTTTTCCATATTTTGCAGCTTTAATGACCTTTAATATCACATGAATATTTTTAAAAGGTCCCTTCCCTGTAAACTTTAATCATCGATTTTTGTGTATTTATGAAACCTTTAAACACGTTTTATTTCGTAACATAAGCAGGAAATTTTAGTATCGCCTTCTCTCCTACTTGTGCGGCGTGCAGCTGGATAGCTTGTTTAAACTGGAATTGGATTTCACAAGTTTTGAAACAGATGCGGCAGTCATTATATTAAACTCTTGCTTTATAAGCAGTATAGCAACCTCGCTTTTATTTACATTGAAGTTGCTTGGATCGAAAACAAACGTTTATATTTTGACAAAAAAATGTAATACACATGTCAATATTATTTTGCAAACCGTTATATTTTTAGCAAATCAAAATAGACCATAATTACAAAATAACTGTACGAATTAAGTGATTTCAACGTCCACAATTAGGCGTACATAATATAGGTAGACTATATATCTTATTTTATAATACACACAAGTTACACAATACTGAAGTGCGCTATATTGATAGTATATATTCCCAAAAGAGTTAAAAGGATTCACAAAAAGTGTCATCAAATGAGTCATTTAGAGATGTATCACTTGAGTTGAGTGATTGACTATTATTTTCTATAGCATTGTCTAAAGCTGCCCACTCTGGGCAATCTTTCGGCTTTGGTCTTGTGGACGGTTCTCCAACTCGCTTCTGGACAAGGTCAGATAGCGATGCATTGTGAAGTTTGTCCAATTTTCTCTTCATCCTTCGTAGAGCTCGACTCTCCCAGGGTAACTTTTGCACATTGTACCTCACAATTTTGTTCTCGGTTGACTCGTCAAATTCGCTCTCTTCGGAGGACATGTACTCAGATTTCATAACATCTGCAAATTTCGCGGTTTTTTGAGCGTCATAGCAAGCCTTCTCAAGTTGCTTTAACCTTCGAGCAAGTTTCTACAGTAAAATACAGAAAATACTTAAAAATGGGTGTCTCATAGTGTGAAATTGACACTGATTACCCGACACCTTATTTGTCTAGAAAGAAATTAACTCATGTAACTTAGGAGACAATTTAGACTACTGTATGATACCAAATAAATTATTTACAAACCTCATTTTTTCTGTTACGTCTTTTACATCTAGCAACATGCTCTTTCTGTGTTCCCCTGGTACTTCTAATGTTTGAGGCTCTCGAAGACCTAAAGTAGGTCTTAAATGCTTCTACAAAGAAATAAATATCAGTTATAATTAATCACATTCACTCATGATCACTGATTGCAAAATATAATGACAAGGTGCACAGTATAGAAAAATACTGTGGAAGGATAACATGTACATCAGTCATACACAGCTGACACAATTTTAGATTTAAAGTTGCCTAATTGTGCAAACATGCACACTTTATTTTGAAGTATGTTAATTTTATATTTTTTGAAACCATGCAATTGGTCATCCATTTCTAAAGAATATTTTTACATAAAAAACTACCAATGCAATTACGATTTTGTGCTAAAGTAATTTATTCTGCCTAAATCTTGAATCCGCTACAGAAAACAAAAGCTGGTGACTGATACATATACCATACCATAATAATAAATATATAAATGCAAAATATAATAACGGTTACTATATCCTCGTAACCCTTATATATGCAGTAAAACTCTGCTTAAGCAAGTGGATAATTGTGTACAGCATTTATACATCATTACATAACTACACATTGCCAGAAATATGCGACATTTGCGCCCATAAACATGCAACAATGCTGTCAGCGCATTCCACTTGCGACATGCGCAGTAATTACATACTCCATGCTGCTCTGCTGCAAAGTCTGCTGCATGCTTGAGCTCCTACAAATTCGCCATGGCAAAGCAAAATATTTTGCCCAGAAAATCGAAGGGAAAATGCTTTGTCGATGGATTTTATTCCAATCATTTCGATGGCGTTAACTTTAGAGAACGTGCTCAACATGTAAGGCAATGTTTGCCCGGCCATTTTATGGTGGAACGGATAATTTCTTCGAGAGGAACAGTTAAGGTTAGTCATACAAATATTTTATTTCTTGAAATATATCTCTCGATAAACAAATTATAGAAGACTGAAATATAGGGCTAGAAAGACTCGGGAGTATATGACCTTTAAGTGTTTAAAACAGATGTTTAGCATTGTGTCTAAATATTAATATGACCACACTTGTCATATATAAAGCGAAGTAATTGCTTTATATATTGTGCTTAAAAAACTTATACATTTGTATCCACTAGAACAAAGAATTCCTGGTAAAATGGGAGGGCTACGATTTGGCAAACTGCACTTGGGAGCCAGAGAAGAATATTCCTCAACATATAATAAGGTAGGCCATAAATTATTTTATTAGCTTGATTTGTGCAACTGATCTTCCAACAGCAAATAATAATATATGTTCCTTGTTATATACATTTTAGATCTTTGTATGATAATCCCACAATTGAGCCAGTCAGAGTTGAGCAGTTCATGCTTAAGTTTATGCATAGCGTGAAGGCAAAGCTGAGATCAAAATTGATGGATCCGAATCTTACAATTGAGTGTGACCATGATGTATTCAGGTACTTGTTTGGAAAGAAAGGCTGTCCCTCCAGAGTTCCAGGAGCTACCATGCTAAACAAGGATGACTTTGTTGATTTGGGACTTCCATCGTATTGGCACTACTCACTAAACAAGTATGGTGATGGCTACTGCATCGAGTTCCCAGTCAGGGCTAAGTCTGTATTGAGAAAGACAAAAAAGGATTATTTTTTGAGTGATGATGGCATTTTAGTTCCATCAACATCATATGTAGTTGAAATGGCAACATTTTACATCACTAAAAACCCTTGTTCAAAGGATAGCATGTAGCACACATGGGATGTGATAGTAAATTCAAATTAGATAATATATTACAGTAATAAAATATTCTTTGTTTTTATATACCGTAGTGAAGCCATGTTTGCACTATAGGTCCTGGCCTGGCCTTTAGAAATATTATTTTATAACAAACAAATGCAGCACATAAATAATAGTTTATACCTTCCAAGGGTCTGCTTAGACGTGGACGCTTTCGCCTTTCCTGGAAGATTCTTTCTGTCCAATAGTCATTGTCATGTTTTGTGTAGTTATTTGGCGTCTTTTCATACTGTTGTAGAACATCCAGGCGTTTAAGCGCTAGAAGCGAGTCTTTGCATGCATCATGCTTGTTGCATTTTCTATGATATATGGCACGCACTACATCATTTGTCTTCTCGACTCCTTGGCCAGTGAAGATTTTAACACCATTATCATCAGATAACAGCCTTGGCACGTGGTACACAAGCATGTGCATATATGGTGTAATGTTTGATTTTGAATAGCCTTCTTCTTTGTCTTTTAAAGACAGAAACAGGTTCACCCACTCATTTGCCTTGAAAAAACAAAGGAGAGGGGAATTTTGATATTAACCTTTGATCTGATGCGCTTTTCAACTCGCTTAGCTAGGAAAACTTGCCTCATGTATTCGGCCCCTTAGAGTAAATACTAATGGTTTTATTTACCTTCTTAAAAAGATCATATAGATTTTGCCCTGATGTTGTCCAAGAAGATAGTGTCTTGTACAACTCTTCAAATCCCTTAAATAAAATTATAAAAGAAATATGTCTCTAATGCAAATTATAACCTTAGCCAAAATGTAATAAACAAGTTTTACTGGTGTACATTTCATTCACCTCAGAGGCTGCCAGCCCAAGCAAGGGGGGGGAGTGGGGGTCTGGATCCTCCCTATTTACCTGCCATATTTGTTTGATTGTGTCACATGTGTTTTCATTCACCACTTCACTGAACTTCTCGGGTAACCGGTTCAATAGCTGTTTTTTCTCTTTTCCCACCATACTCCTCCAGTCATACCCACTTGTCTTCTTTCCAGTTCCATCCAATTTCTTCCAAACAGTGAATGGAATCCCGACATCATTGATTGCCTTCACCAGTGCTTTCAGGTGAAGACCTTTTGGTTCATTTCCCTTCTTATTCTTGTCGTCTCTTAGATCCCACCTCACAGTTTGGAGAATAAGATTTCTCTCCAAGACATCTACAACAGAATAATTATAAGATTTTTAATCAATATCAGACTGGCATTTGTGCGACATCTGACATTGTTCCAGTCAGCATGTAAAAGAGGCTTGCTAACACCAGATGAGTGTAGACATATATTTACCTGTTATTCTTAGTAGGAGGTGGAGTTCATCAATCCTAACATTTTCAAGTTTAATTTGTAATAATGGAGGTGAAATACAACCAAAATTATTCTTCAAAATTAATTAGCTCCTCCAGGGTCCTTTTCATTTCATCGCTCCAATAATGTGACTCAGATTTTGACATATCCCATCTATAGTATTAAACATAGTTTAACCTTGCAATATGTTATAAAATATATGTTAAAGATTCTGCTCATAATGAGTAGATAGACTTTAATTCCCACCTTTCATCCTTGCTTATCTTGCAATAAATGCAGGCATATATGGAGTTAGCAGCATTGAGGCCAAGCATTGCCAAGAGGAACTTAATTCATTAAGAGAATAACATTAGAATATACATGAAGCCAGCAACATTTTGGACGGCATTTGTCACTTTTTATTTAAAATATATATAGAATATAGCTGGAGTATGTAGGATTGTTACCTTGTAGTCACCTCCCAGAAAAAATTCCAGTTGGATGATTTTTCCATCGACCTCAATTGCGCCTTCTGCAATTAGCTGGTTTATCTCATCCAGAACTTCTTTGAAAGATGTGGCCATACTTTCATAGCACTCTTTTCCACAAACTATGGCAAATGCATGATTGCCTAGAACGATTTTTAATTGTACCTTGTGATATATGCAATTACTATAATTGCAAAGTAATTAAATTGACAGATTACCTTTTGTGGACATTACTTGCTTTTCATCAGAAAGTAAGGCAAACGACATCACAATATAGTTAGATACCCGGGATATATTGGCACCATCACCAGAAATTTTAACCTTCTGACAACTCACTTCTCCATTATCAACCTAAAATAATTAAAATAAACCTATTATACTAGTTGTCTACCAATATTATTGCCATAATCAATGCCACTGATTGGTTATGCATGACCTGGAGAAACTTTCCCACAGGATCAGAGTAAAATACCCCTGTTGACAATGATGATTATCACCATTACTTCTGCATTTCAAAATACTTACTTTCTCTTTTATCTTTCGTCTAAGTTCCTCTTTAAAGCTGATCTGGGCACCCACTAGATCCCCTGGGGTTCTTGAGATTGCAAAGGAACTATTCACATCAGCTCGAGACTGTTTGATCATGTAACTGCGAGGCAAACTACTCTCTTTTTCAGTGAGGGCATGATAAGCTGCGTCACCAACACAAAATCTGTCCATGATATACAAGACTTCTTTTATCTTAGTCTTTTCAGCCTCCGGCAACTCTTCATACTTTGAACTTTTTTGCTCCCTCGCTCCTGGATGTATGTCGATTTGTTGCCCATTGGAGTCTTCAACAGAAATTGCATTTAGAGTTACACCATATGAGTCAAGGAACCATAGAGCTCTCTCAGATTTTGTCTTCAATTCCCGCATCTAATGAAAATAATAATAATTAGAAAGCACCATTCACCAAGGTGTTTTTCAGGGAGTGAATACACTGAATAAAGTTAAATCAAAATTAAATATATGTGAAGCTACAGCTTTTACCTTTCTCTGACGTTGCCTTGTTCCAACTTGGTCCAATTTACCTGACGTATTCTCAAGGTTATCAGCACAGTTTTGGCAAGCAGTATTTTCGAGCTTCTTGGTCAGGACAGAATTTTCATTCTCTAACATGTTTTTTTCTTCAATCGAATCGTTCAATTTATCTTCAACAACTTTCGCCCTTTCGTTAGCTTCAACCAACTCGGAGTTCAGCTCTGAACACTTGGTTTCAAGTTCAGTTACGGTCCTTACGCTCTCGACATCTTCCTCACAGATCTTTATGCTACGTGTTTTTTGTAATAGCTTCTTCTTCTTCCTTCCACTTTTCCCACGGCATTCACGTATTGCTAAGCAGGCAGCATCATTGATCCTTTTCTCTAAGGCAGCACTTTCGACGATTTTGAACGGGAGCACTTGCTCTTTTGCAATCAAATTTACATATTTATGAGCTTGACCTTTCGTCTTAAGGTCGTGCCAGTATATTAAAATTTCCTGGGGAATTTCAAGAACGAAATAGGGTTTATGAGATGATATTTGTTTCCCATAGTTAACGTCGTTGGTTTGCTAGAAAACGTTACTTTTGAAATGAACTTTATGGGATTTTCAGCCATCACAACACTGCCGCGCCAAAAATCCAAAATTCCCGCGTTTACTCATATTTGAATAAATAGTGCAATGTTGTGACATACCGCTGATAAACTATGAACTTTGTGGGCTCATTTCTGAGCAAGCTCGGTATTTCAGCGGCGTTTAGCTTCATTTGACATGCGCCTGAGTATTTCAAAACATGTGAACTGAAAAGACAAGAAGACGAGCTTTAAAACAATAGTTTTGAAGGCGAAATCGTTCAAAATCTCGCCGAATTATGGCAATTTTAAGCAAAGCAAAGCTCTTTGCCGGACATAAACATAAGGCTGGACAAGGTAAAGGAAGGTAAATGTTTTTAGTTTTTATATTAGTCGAAGAAACCGACACCTCATCTTGCCAGAGCAAGCTTCGCATGTTGGAATTTGTATTATATATACCCTGAAATACGTCCTTTTAGTGGGGAAGTATGTTAGAATTGATGATCAATGGCGTCTAATTCGCTGCAATCCGTAGATAAGTTTGAATCGCTCAAGGAAAAGCTTTATCGGCTTCTAGAAATCACAATATTTTGCTTTTTGCTTTCGCTACAAGTCAATTTACCATGTTCATACTTCGCATATAACAAAATGTATTATTTTGCACTATTTCTAGTACTATTTACTATAAATTTGCAAGCATTTTGAGAGAACAAATGCCTGTTGCGCAATATCGCATGTCGCTTATTTCAGGCAATGCATATATTCAGGTTAACTATAACAATAATGCTGAAAAATATATATCATCAAATAGATAAATATACCTTTTATCAAAACAGCAGACCATGGACATTTCTGAGCTCCCCCATACTCATGGGCAAGTTCTTCACTTACTCTTGAGCATAACATGGAGTTGTGTTCAGAGTCATGACTAGCAAAAAATAATATCATACTATCTATATATATAAGGCTAATTACAGAATTGGGCATAATATCCAAGGAATACTGTAGTGGCATTATTAGTAAATATTAGTAAACAATTACATGAAAAATTTTCAGCCTTATGAATGAATTTAACCCCTAGGTACAGCATTTGACTCAGGTAACTCAAACTGGGATGAAATTTCAAACCTGGGGTTAAAACATTAAAAAATTGAAAATTAAATCATGTAATCATGCCTTGTATTTTATAAGGGTTTTAAAAGTGTTGACATTTCAAACAGGTCAACTGGGCTGAATTCACAAGCTGGGTTGAAAATCCTTTATGCAATTGGTCTATTAAAACCAGTAGTTACAAATACAGTGCAATATATAAGTAGAGATAAAAACAAAACATACTTCTCATCAAACTTGAATGACAAACGTAGCGGCATTTCACCAACAAGCGTGACTTACAGAACATTTCTTCGGTATGTGAAACGGCTAGGATATGGATATTATCAGAGTCGAAAGAAAGGTGTTCTTACGAATAAAGATTTAAAATTACGACGAAAATTTGCGCGAACCATAGCAACCAAACACGAAGATTATTGGACATCAGATGTAGTTTTCTATTTGGATGGTGTTTCCTTCGTTTACAAAAGCAATCCACAGAGTGACGTGCTCAAACCGAAAAACCGTGTTTGGCGGATAAGAGGCGAAGGATTGCTATTAACTACCAAAGGCAGTAAAGAACTTGCTGGCGGTAAACGATTGCATTTGCTTGTAGCTATGGCACACGGGCACGGTGTTATTTGCGCAGAACCATATGTAAAGATGGACGGCCCATATTTTGCACGCTTTAAACGCCGTCATTTCCCCATTCTATTTGACATTACAAAAAACGATAATACCACACCGAAATTATTTGTAATGGATAATGATCCTTCACAGACCTCTGAAGTTATTCCAAGATGGAGGAAATTCTTTGCACGTAGCCAGCGCTGATTTCTATCTAACTTCATACACATGTGATAATGTACTCCAGACTTCTTGTGCGACTCTTGCGAGCAACACCAGTGAAGGACTTTGGCAGAACCACCATCAAATGCCTTTAACACCGCTTCGGCGAATAATTTCCTCGTAGGAATTTTTGATTTGTCGGCTTGACTGTATGTGATCAAATACACCTTTCGAATTTCCCTCCGACCTAGCTCGCTTTCTTCCGTATCAGATTAAGAACTGCTTGTGTTATAGCAGTTAAGTAGATCCATGCGAAATGAAAGTAATGCAACTTATATGTTTCTGAACAAAGAAATATATGCGTGCGATGTATACGCAAGTGTAGCTATGTATACTGATAACTTATTGTAACCAGATACTTTGTAAATAATTGATGTGCTATTCAATGGGAAATATATATAATAGACACTTGGCATAGGGCCGTCGAAAAGCATCACAGCGTGTTAACTTAATAACCATGCAAAAGAGTGCATGCGTTTTTACTTGCGTTACCGATCGTCTCGAGTTAGTACCCAGAAAATACACGCTAAAGGGCACAGTTTTGCGAGTCACATCTTTATGTGATAATCAATGACTAAATAAAAAGTGTGGCATTTTATAGGACCTCACTATTCAATCGAAATTTTACCAACAGGTTACCACTGAAAAGCAAGGCACACAAAAAACTCAGACAGTCCGAGTATTTTATTGCGTTATCCGCGGGCACTTAAAAGACTGTAACTTTAAAACTAAGCATTGTAACTTAATGAAATTTTTAGCAAGTATTAAGAAGCAATTAAGCTAATTATACGTCGAATAAATTCCATTTTTAATTATATTGCGTAACAATATTTTCATTTAAACGCGTACAAACATGACACGAATTCATGACTTAACCGCAGAGCAACGAGCTTTAGCACTCTTATTGAGGCGCGAATTCAAATATTCTTATCGTGAAATTGCTTTAAAAACAAACATGTCAAAGTCAAGTGTGCTTAGAGTCATTAAAAGCTTTGATATGAAGAAAAAAGGTAGCGATAATAAGTTAAAAAAGTCTCGCCAAGGTCGAAAAAGAACATTAACGCAACGAGATGAACGAAACTGAAGAGAGCAATTATGCAACTCCGCGAAAGAAGTCCAAACTTCACAGTTATGGAGGTAGTTCAACGTAGCGGCATTTCACAAACAAGCGTGACTTACAGAACATTTCTTCGGTATGCGAAACGGCTAGGATATGGATATTATCAGAGTCGAAAGAAAGGTGTTCTTACGAATAAAGATTTAAAAATACGACGAAAATTTGCGCGAACCATGGCAACCAAACACGAAGATTATTGGACATCAGATGTAGTTTTCTATTTGGTTGGTGTTTCCTTCGTTTACAAAAGCAATCCACTGAGTGACGTGCTCAAACCGAAAAACCGTGTTTGGCGAAAAAGAGGCAAAGGATTGCTATTAACTACCAAAGGCAGTAAAGAACTTGCTGGCGGTAAACGATTGCATTTGCTTGTAGCTATGGCACACGGGCACGGTGTTATTTGCGCAGAACCATATGTAAAGATGGACGGCCCATATTTTGCACGCTTTATACGCCGTCATTTCCCCATTCTATTTGACATTACAAAAAACGATAATACCACACCGAAATTATTTGTAATGGATAATGATCCTTCACAGACCTTTGCTGTTGCGAAAAAAGCTTTAAAATCTATTGGAGCTAACATGCCAGTTATTCCAGCCAGATCACCTGACTTGAATCCGATTGAAAATTTATTCCATATTGTTCGAAAAAGAATGGAAGCAGAAATCTTGCAGAAGAACATTATACACCAGTCGTAAGATGAATTTAACGAAAGAGTTAAGCTGAACATTTGGTCTGTCTCACAAGAATATGTAGATAAGAGAATTGCAAGTATGCCAAGGAGAATTAAAGATATTCTTAAACTTAAGGGAAAACGAACAAAATATTAGCTACTGATTAGATATAAGTCCCGACCGCTATAATTCCTCAATGCATTACTGTTGTATTACATATAGTGCTTAGCCGACCCTAATTAAAACAGTCATAAAAAATTGCGTATATGCATATCATGCATGCTTATATATAAAGTTCATATAGATCTATTAGTATAGGGGCCAAATACCGATATTTATACCAAGTAACCATTTGTCCTCTTAAAAATGATAGATTGTTTGAACAAGTAACCGCAAGTAACTACAAGTAACCAAAAGTAACCATCCGTTTAAAAACTACAATGGTATAAAGTCAATAATATCTACATCAATGGTTACTTGTGGTTACTTGTGGTAACTTGCACTATGATGCATATAATTTGTGAACAAATATCAAATTCAGCACGTGTGTGTAACGTTAGAAAGCTGTGTTTACTTTGTGCGAAATAACTGTGCATTTTATATCAAATATTTGAATGCCTAAGGTCGGTTACTTGTGGATACGTATACGGTTAACATGCATGCGTGGCTGTGCTATATTTAGACTTCCCCCGATTACTCGTTACCAATTAGATTGTTCATATAATTCGGTTTGAAAAGCAAGACAATGCATCCTGTAGAGCGTATTTGTCGACATGCTTTAGCCTTTAATGTTTATGTACTATGCACATGCTAGCATATCTGTATCATGAATATATTAAACTAAAAACTCATAGTCATCAAGGATAAGGCGAGCAAACCATGCTGCGCACGGGTCGACTTCTTTTTGTTCTTCCTCTGGGATTTGTCGGTAGAAATTGAACAGTTTCCATCTTATGGCCATCATCTTTGTCTGACTGTAGACAAGTTGGTGTTTACTTGTGCTAAAAATTGGCGTGTCTTTGTCGAACACAATGTCGTGGGCGAAATGACACTTGGGCGCAGGTAAATGGACCAACTGACCTTCGAGCATGAGAAGTAGATCATGCCAAGCGATTATCTGTGGCGACCAACGGAAATCGTTGAGGAAGACGACCTCGGATTTTTCAGCACCCACCCATGCAAAGCTTGTAGATGCCGGATTGGTGAAAGTATGAAATACTTTGTTCAGCGGATTGAGGAGAAACGTTTTACCGCAGTTCGCCGGGCCTGTCAACATAATATTCCGGAACTTCCCACGGCCTTTCGTTAACAAATCTTTAACACAGTTAGCAAAATTGTCCACAGAGATGTTGTTATTTGCTAAAAGTTGCAACGCACAGTAATGCCATTCATCACAAGTATCGCATGTGCATCAAAGTTGACGGGCATCTTGAAGTAATTCAATGCGGGTTTTATCTCGTCTTTCTTGTGTTTTCTGTGCCGATTCAATCTCCCAAGCAGTTGCAATTACCTCACTAACCACCTTTTTGCCACGATTTACAATAAACTCAGCCAAATCGGTCTTCCCTTCTTCTCTTTGCTTGCTGGAGAAGGCCAAAATTTCCGTGCGATTTTGATGTCCTTTATTTAAAATTATTTCGGCGACTTCGTACGCACTCAAGCGCTTTCGCTTCTTTACACATGTTCTCGTTCCCTTTTCTTTTGAGTCTTCGTCATCGCTGGTTTGAGTAGCGCCAGTGTCCTGTTGTACGGTTTGTCTATTACTTTGATGCGTACGTAGCATTTTCCGAGTTCGATTCGCATTGAATTACTTCAAGATGCCCGTCAACTTGGATGCACATGCGATACTTGTGATGAATGGCATTACTGTGCGTTGCAACTTTTAGCAAATAACAACATCTCTGTGGACAATTTTGCTAACTGCGTTAAAGATTTGTTAACGAAAGGCCGTGGGAAGTTCCGGAATATTATGTTGACAGGCCCGGCGAACTGCGGTAAAACGTTTCTCCTCAATCCGCTGAACAAAGTATTTCATACTTTCACCAAACCGGCATCTACAAGCTTTGCATGGGTGGGTGCTGAAAAATCCGAGGTCGTCTTCCTCAACGATTTCCGTTGGTCGCCACAGATAATCGCTTAACATGATCTACTTCTCATGCTCGAAGGTCAGTTGGTCCATTTACGTCAAAGGCGGCATTGTAAACGAAAGAGAGACAGAGATGATGGCCATAAGATGGAAACTGTTCAATTTCAACCGACAAATCCCAGAGGAAGAACAAAGAGAAGTCGACCCGTGCGCAGCATGCTTTGCTCGCCTTATCCTTGATGACTATGAGTTTTTAGTTTAATATATTCATGATACAGATATGCTAGCATGTGCATAGTACATAAACATTAAAGGCTAAAGCATGTCGACAAATACGCTCTACAGGATGCACTGTCTTGCTTTTCAAACCGAATTATATGAACAATCTAATTGGTAACGAGTAATCGGGGGAAGTCTAAATATAGCACAGCCACGCATGCATGTTAACCGTATACGTATCCACAAGTAACCGACTTTAGGCATTCAAATATTTGATATAAAATGCACAGTTATTTCGCACAAAGTAAACACAGCTTTCTAACGTTACACACACGTGCTGAATTTGATATTTGTTCACAAATTATATGCATCATAGTGCAAGTTACCACAAGTAACCACAAGTAACCATTGATGTAGATATTATTGACTTTATACCATTGTAGTTTTTAAACAGATGGTTACTTTTGGTTACTTGTGGTTACTTGCGGTTACTTGTTCAAACAATCTATCATTTTTAAGAGGACAAATGGTTACTTGGTATAAATATCGGTATTTGGCCCCTATACTAATAGATCTATATGAACTTTATATATAAGCATGCATGATATGCATATACGCAATTTTTTATGACTGTTTTAATTAGGGTCGGCTAAGCACTATATGTAATACAACAGTAATGCATTGAGGAATTATAGCGGTCGGGACTTATATCTAATCAGTAGCTAATATTTTGTTCGTTTTCCCTTAAGTTTAAGAATATCTTTAATTCTCCTTGGCATACTTGCAATTGTCTTATCTACATATTCTTGTGAGACAGACCAAATGTTCAGCTTAACTCTTTCGTTAAATTCATCCCACGACTGGTGTATAATGTTCTTCTGCAAAATTTCTGCTTCCATTCTTTT